CTTTCGTCTTGATGCGGAAGACCCATTTCCCGGTGAGAATGGTCTTGTTCCGTGCCACGCTTGCGGGAACGACCTTCCAGGTGTTGCGTTCCTCCAATGCCTTTAATTCCCTGTCCATGGCTTCACGCCATTTTTCCCTGTGTTCCCCCCCCAGAGCCTGCTGAACTGTCGCAGGCTCTTTAGGAAGAGTGTTGCCGGCGGTCCCGTGGACTGCGGTGACGAGGCCAAGGATTTGTAGCCCAGTCTGTGAGTATCGAGGGAGTTCTGGATCCTCGGGATAAGCTGCTTCGTCTCCCGCTTCTGGGTCGGGGATGAAATTTGGCCCTATCCTTTCTGCTTCGTTGGTGTTGACTGTCGCAGGTGTTATGTAACCGTTGTCAGCGAAGTGGTAGAAGACTTCGGCGTTGTTACTGTCGTGAGGATTATCTTCATCCATGGGCACATCGACGGAGCAGTACGGGAGAGGTCCGGCTTCCTCCGATGCGTTGTCGACGTTCTGTTCATCCCAGTCTGCTTCGTCCGCTGCTGAGGCGAAGGCTCGGTCACCACGAAAGCCACCTGTGGGGTCCCGATTCTCGTGCAAGTTGGCGAGGTACGTCTGAAGGGTGAGTCGTTCGTAGAAGATCACATCACGTGCTGCTACTGTTTCTTTTGTGTGGACGTCGAAGATTCTCCACCCGTTGTAATTTTTCTCGATGCCGAGGTGTAGTCCCCACTGTGCCCGTTGCGAAAATCTTCCCGCTCGTGCTTCTGGGGGTCGGTACTGTACCATGCACCCAAAAACTCGTAACATTTTTGTGCTGCCCTGCTTTCCTATCCACAGCAGATGCGGTGATGCGTTGTTCGGGAGTGACGACGACGAAAGCAAGTTGTGCAGCATGACAGCATGGTCCATTGCTGCTGGCCACTAGTGGTTGGGTAGCCGCATGCCACGTAGTAGTTTGCGCATGCTGTTCTGCAGGGTCCTGTTCATTCTTTCTGCAACACCCTGCTGCTGATGTGCGTAGGGAAGGGAGAGGAGTTGCTTGATCCCCCTTTCCGCCAGGTACTGCTTGAAGCGCTGAGAGGTGTATTCGCCACCTCCGTCTGACTGGAAGCTTTTCAGCTGCGTTCCTGATTCCCTTTCTGCTACCGGTAGCCAAGCGGCGAATGCTGCGAGTGCCATGTCGCGGCTGGGTAGGTTGCGATGCCAGACGTATCGAGTGGCGGCGTCGATGAAGGTAATCGTGTAATTATAGGTTACTTGTCCTGGTTCTCGATTGTAGAGGATGTCGCTGTAGACTTTTTCGAGTGGTGCGTATGCAGGTGCGCTCGGGTTGTGGTGAGAAGAAAAAGGTCGATGTGGTAAGTCGGCCTCGGGGCAGATGAGGCAAGTCCCCCGTGCACGTTGAAGTTCTCTGCCGTCGAGTAGTAGTAGCGAGTCTTTGTCTAGCACTCCTGCTCGTATCGTATTATTTAACACCGTGTTACTTGGATGTCCTGTGCGTGCGTGCCAGATGTCTTCGGAGGCGCGGTGTCCGGGTGAACGTTGATATGCGTCGGAGTTGAAGTAGAAGCTGGCGACGAAGTTGGCACTGCGGTGGACTTCTCGTTGAGTCGGGTTCAGCTGTTGTGCGGGTGTTGGTGGTGCTTCGTCGACGATGACTGGTGTCGTTGTTCCTGCTGCTGCCGATGTTGTTGCTGCTGCCGATGTTGTCTCTGCTGCTGCCGATGTTGTCTCTGCTGCTGCCGATGTTGTCTCTGCTGCTGCCGATGTTGTCTCTGCTGCTGCCGGTGTTGTCTCTGCTGCTGCCGATTGTTGAATTGTTGCTAATGCTCGTGTTCGCTCTGCTTCAGGGATGGTGTGTGAGTAACAGAAGCCTCCTGGACTGAAATCAGGATCGAGGTCCGGAGGGTGTGTCCAGTCGGTAAAGTTGACGATGGCGTCGCTGTCTGCAGTGCCCAGGTCGGGGACGAAGTCAAGAACGAAGACGTTATTCTTCAACACTGCTTTCCCGATGTAGAGGCCGCCCCTCGCGTGGTATAACTTAAATTCCTGGGTGGTGCTGTCGGCTTCCAAGTGAATCCCCTTCGCCATCAGCTGGCTAACACTCAGTAAGTTATAACCGAGTCCTTTTGCGATGAGTACTTTTGACATGTGTAGTATAACGTTGGTCTCTCTTGATTGAAGCTGAACGACTCCTTGTCGTCTTGTGCGCAGGTTCTGGTTGTTGGCGACCGTGATGACTACTTCTCGCTGGAGTCGATGTTCGCGTTGTACGAAGCGCCCGGAGGAGCACATGTGTTGTCCGCAGCAACTATCCAAGAACCAAGTGTCTTGGCCGGACGGTTCACTTTGAGCGATTGCGGCGTACGTTGGGTTCGGTTGAAGAGATTCGCGGCGAGGCGTGCTGTTGTCAAGTTGATCTTCGGGTGAGTAGTACGGTGGTGACTCTGTTGTGCAAGAGTCGTTTATCTTGACCATGCAGCTGACAATATTTCTTGCCCCTTGTGCAGGTTGTCCAGTTGAAGTCGTTGAAGCTTGGATCGTGGTCCTCGGACTTGCTTGCGTTGAAGTAACTTGGGAGCTTGAAGGCCGTAGTTGTCGCTGTGGTGTTGTCTGACGAGACGGGCAATGTGTGCGAGGATGGCCCGAAGTCTTGCAGATGTGGCAGAACGGAGGTACCGTTTTCACTTGCTGTTGTCGATTGTTGTTGCCGTTGTGTCGTCGCTGAGTGTGAAAAGAAAATTCTGGTGCTAATGCTTTCTTCTTGTGTCTTTCTTCTTGCATGTCCATGTCCTGCTGCTCAGCATGAATTTCGGCGCAGAGTGCCGCTTCGGAGATCCTCCCGTGTGCTCGTAATATGGCGCGAGTGGAGCGCCAGTGGGGGCCAAGACCGCCGATGACCACCGTGACAAAGGCGTCTTCTGAGATTGACCCGCCGCATCGAAGAAGCTTGTCGCGCAGTTCGCGGCAGCGGCTGATATAAGCCATGCCTTTCTCGCCTGGTTTCATTTCAATCGTTGTCAGCTGTGCCATTAACCTGCTTTGGTTTACGCTGTCTGTTGCTTGATACAGGTTCTTCAGGTGGTTGTACGCGAGCTCCGCGGAGTTGCCGTAGCCTCGGTAAGTCCTGATGTTCTGCTGCTGGGTCGGGGTGATGTTTCTTAGCAGTATCGTGTACGCCATCATTGATTGATAGGTGTACTGCTGCTTCTCATATTGTGTCCCGTTTGTTGGATATGGCAGGGACCCGTCGAAAAAGCCGAGAATCTGTGCTCCTTCCATCATCAATTCGAACTCGAACGACCAGGTGAAGAAGTCTTTGCCGTCGAAAGGCTTTGTCGTTTGCAGCTTGAGAACGTGCGCGAATTGCGACTGGACTTGTAACGCGTCCAATGTCTTTTCTTGTCCCGATGCAGGTTGCGGTTGCGGCATGAAGCTGACGGAACCACGTTGAGGCTCGTACGGCGCAAAGGTAGGCTGCTGTTGTTGTTGTTGCATCCCGCGTGCATAGGATGAGCCGTCGAGGCTCATCGGAGTAACATTGTTGTTGTTGTTGCTGTTGTTTGACTGCGCAGGCACTCCTTGCTGGTGTTGCTCGTAGAAGGACATGAAGGAGAAAATTTTCTCCATCATGTTTGAATCGAAGCCTGCTGGTGTTTCCGTGGACCCAGCTGCTGGTCTTGCGGTAGTGCCTTCCTCTGTCTGTAGGCCAGAGGCAGGAGGTGGAGTAGGAGTAGTGCCTGGGGAGCCGTTGGAGGAGCTCCTCTCCTTCCTTGCAGACATGTCTTCTTTCTTTGTATTTAAGTATTGAGAGAGAAAATGATCTTAAACTCTAACTGCTCTCATACCATGTTGGGCTGAGAAGCCCTAGGATCTTTGTAGAGCTTAAGGACTGAATAGGATTGTAATAGCGGAAGCGTTGAAGTATACAGTGATTGAACCACCTTGCGCTAGTATGTGAGGGCAAAGTAAGTTGGATTAAACAAGCAAATACAAGGTTTATATAAGAGTACAAGGAATACGAATTGATAGATTTAAACCGTTTTACTGTTGCGATTCGATACAGTGCGACTCGGGCAACTGCTCAATGTCGAGTCAGTTGTGTGTCCTTGCTGTCGCGCTGTAATTGTCGAGTCAAAGGTCGCTGACCTTTGACTTTCCCGTAACCTCTAGGCGGTTACCCTAACCTCCGAGGGTTGACTCGCGATGCTTCGATTTGGGCTGCTTCGCTAGTGTCCTGAGTTTCGACACGACAGAGGCGCCTTAAGACTTATTGTTCCCAACATCAACATCAGTATTTGTTGTATTGTTCAGAACACTGAAAAAAAACTGTGTCGTATGATAAGACCCGGGTGGCATAATTTTTTTTCCTTTGTTAAGACCCCCCCCCCCATTTTTTCTAGGGATTTAGGATAAGACCCTAGGGTCTTATATTCGGGGGAATACGGGTATCATATGTATGTACACTATCAAAATCAGGCAGTACCAACACTGATGTCTCCTATTTTCCAGTGGGTTTCACTTCACCGCGACAAGACTACCATCACCTCTATCAATCAATGATTGCGATATACACCGTCACCGAATTCCTCGTCGCATAGCTCAGAGATTCCTTTGCACATGTAGTCGCGCTGAATGCCGCACTCTTCGTTCTCATCAAAGTGGTCAAAGAACCCCGCGCCTGATGTCAGCCAACAGGGATTTAGATCCCCCGGCTTGGCCGTGATTTGCCTGGCGGGATGGCAGGCAATAGAATGGGCAGCAAGGAAGCACAAGTGAGCTGCCCTTGATTTGATTCCAGCATTATTAACTTTTGTCTTCAAGCAGCACTTGGATTTGACTGGTTGTCCTTCAAGGCAGTGGAAGCAGCACAGCACCCACTCGGGACGTACAAAAACCATAGACTTCAGCAGCCTAGCATCCATAAAAAGCACGCCGACATGTTACTCAGCTTGATTGATTACCGAGGCCTGGGAGGGAGTGAATGCACAGAATATACTACTTAGATGTGCATCTAGGCAATGCCATATGCGGTTGATGTAGGGAACATGGATCTCACCACTCCTGGTCGTCGATCATGCTCTCCGTCATCCCGAACGCCCGCAGCTCCTCGCGGCTGTGATGCATGCGCAGGCTGTACCTGGGAGGGGACGTGGATGGGCGAGTGAGTGTGGGGAGGGGGGCGGGTGAAGGGGTGTGCAAGGGTGAGTGAGAAGGGCGGGAGGAAACGGGTGAGTAAGAGGGGGTGTGCACAGGTGAGTGAGAAGGGCGGGGGGGAGACGGGTGAGTTGGAGGGCGTGTAGATGGGTGAAGCCCCAAGCTTCTCGCGGCTATGGTGCATGCGCAGGCTGTACCTGTGGGGGACGTGGATGGGTGGGTGAGATAGAATGCACAGAGGGAAGTGAGAGGGGGAGTGCACAGACGAGTGACGGGATGTGCACAGGTGCGAGGAGTGGGTCAGGTCAGGTCAGGGTAAGAGGAGGAGATAGGAGAGGAGGAAAAGAGGAGAAGAAGCTGCAAGGTGCGTGCCATGAGAGTTGAGTGCATGAGAGTTGAGTGCATGAGAGTTGAGTGCATGAGAGTTGAGTGCATGTGCGTGAATGAGAGAGCATGATCACCACCCCATACACACATACCTGCCGCCCGGCCCCAGCTGCATGATCATGCAGCCGGCGTTGGGGAAGTTGTAGAGCCCTTCAAACTGCTCCACCGTCCACTTGTACCAACGCATGAGGAAGACGCGCAGGGTGAGCCCGTGCGACACCAGCACGAGGTTCATGTTGCGCGCTGCTGCCTCCTCCCTCTGAAACCGCCCCACGTCTATGTCCGCTCTTAGTGTCTCCCGGAAGCCTGGCATGGTGGGATGGGGGATGGGGGAACAAATTGGGCGGTAGGGGGGTTTGTGGGGGAAGGGGAGTTGTGAATGGTCAACCAGTGCGGTTGCACCTGTGTGCACTTACGTGATCCTAAAAACACACCAGTGACACCCTCGCACCTGCGTGGTCACAGTGCACCCACGACATGGTCACAGTGCACCCACGACATGGTCACAGTGCACCCACGACATGCTCACAGTGCACCCACGACATGCTCACAGTGCACCCACGACATGCTCACAGTGCACCCACGACATGGTCGCTCATGGTCGCTGAGTCCTCACAGTGGCACCTCCTCTCCTTCACTCTCACAGTGCTCCTCCCGTCGCACCTGTGACACGGTCATAGACGTCAGCAGCGGACTCGCCATCGGGGAACCGGTAGAAGAAGCGCCCGTAGCTCAGCCGCACCTTCTTCTCCCTCCTCATCTTCTCCCTGTCCTGGAAGTTGCCTGCAGGCCGGCGGACCAGTTTGGGCCAGGGGAGACATGGGCAGCGCATGTGTGGATGCAGGGTACAAAGAGACGGGGAGGATGTGACCGATATGCGTAGCTCAGCCGCACCTTCTTCTCCCTCCTCATCTTCTCCCTGTCCTCAAATTTGCCTGCAGGCACGCGGGCCAGCATGTGCCAGGGGAGACACGTGGGAAACTTTCTCAATGTTTGATACATTGACTTTGGTTTCATCCGTTGGGACAACATTAGCAATGCATGAGTGGATGCAGCGAAGAAAGAGACGAGGAGGACTGGAGGGAAAGGGAGGACGTGAGGGATGGTGGGAAAAAGAGTGAAAACAGGTGAGGGAAGGAATGGAGATAGGGGAGAGGGAGGGAGGGAGGGAGGGAGGGCGGGAGGGAGCAGGTGTAGGAAGGAGGAGGAAAGGGAGATGGAATGGGCTGCAGAGCATGTATGCAGTGAGGGAGGCAGACGTACCAAAGTCTTGCTCGCGGATGCGGGGCTCCTCTCTCACGCCCGCTATCCTCTCCCTCTCAAACGCCAACCCCACTCCCCTGAGCGTCTGAGAAAAACAGCAGCACCGGGGGAGGATATGGGGTGATAAACAAGAGAATGAGAATGTGAGGAAGGGGACTCTCTCACGCCCGCTATCCTCTCCCTCTCAAACGCCAACCCCACTCCCCTGAGCGTCTGAGAAAAACAGCAGCACCGGGGGAGGATATGGGGTGATAAACAAGAGAATGAGAATGTGAGGAAGGGGACTCTCTCACGCCCGCTATCCTCTCCCTCTCAAACGCCAACCCCACGCCCCTGAGCGTCTGAGAAAAACAGCAGCACCGGGGGAGGATATGGGGTGATAAACAAGAGAATGAGAATGTGAGGAAGGGGACTCTCTCACGCCCGCTATCCTCTCCCTCTCAAACGCCAACCCCACGCCCCTGAGCGTCTGAGAAAAACAGCAGCACCGGGGAAGGATATGGGGTGATAAACAAGAGAATGAGAATGTGAGGAAGGGGACTCTCTCACGCCCGCTATCCTCTCCCTCTCAAACGCCAACCCCACTCCCCTGAGCGTCTGAGAAAAACAGCAGCACCGGGGGAGGATATGGGGTGATAAACAAGAGAATGAGAATGTGAGGAAGGGGACTCTCTCACGCCCGCTATCCTCTCCCTCTCAAACGCCAACCCCACGCCCCTGAGCGTCTGAGAAAAACAGCAGCACCGGGGGAGGATATGGGGTGATAAACAAGAGAATGAGAATGTGAGGAAGGGGACTCTCTCACGCCCGCTATCCTCTCCCTCTCAAACGCCAACCCCACTCCCCTGAGCGTCTGAGAAAAACAGCAGCACCGGGGGAGGATATGGGGTGATAAACAAGAGAATGAGAATGTGAGGAAGGGGACTCTCTCACGCCCGCTATCCTCTCCCTCTCAAACGCCAACCCCACTCCCCTGAGCGTCTGAGAAAAACAGCAGCACCGGGGGAGGATATGGGGTGATAAACAAGAGAATGAGAATGTGAGGAAGGGGACTCTCTCACGCCCGCTATCCTCTCCCTCTCAAACGCCAACCCCACGCCCCTGAGCGTCTGAGAAAAACAGCAGCACCGGGGGAGGATATGGGGTGATAAACAAGAGAATGAGAATGTGAGGAAGGGGACTCTCTCACGCCCGCTATCCTCTCCCTCTCAAACGCCAACCCCACGCCCCTGAGCGTCTGAGAAAAACAGCAGCACCGGGGAAGGATATGGGGTGATAAACAAGAGAATGAGAATGTGAGGAAGGGGACTCTCTCACGCCCGCTATCCTCTCCCTCTCAAACGCCAACCCCACTCCCCTGAGCGTCTGAGAAAAACAGCAGCACCGGGGGAGGATATGGGGTGATAAACAAGAGAATGAGAATGTGAGGAAGGGGACTCTCTCACGCCCGCTATCCTCTCCCTCTCAAACGCCAACCCCACGCCCCTGAGCGTCTGAGAAAAACAGCAGCACCGGGGGAGGATATGGGGTGATAAACAAGAGAATGAGAATGTGAGGAAGGGGACTCTCTCACGCCCGCTATCCTCTCCCTCTCAAACGCCAACCCCACGCCCCTGAGCGTCTGAGAAAAACAGCAGCACCGGGGAAGGATATGGGGTGATAAACAAGAGAATGAGAATGTGAGGAAGGGGACTCTCTCACGCCCGCTATCCTCTCCCTCTCAAACGCCAACCCCACGCCCCTGAGCGTCTGAGATAAACAGCAGCACCGGGGGAGGATATGGGGTGATAAACAAGAGAATGAGAATGTGAGGAAGGGGACTCTCTCACGCCCGCTATCCTCTCCCTCTCAAACGCCAACCCCACGCCCCTGAGCGTCTGAGAAAAACAGCAGCACCGGGGAAGGATATGGGGTGATAAACAAGAGAATGAGAATGTGAGGAAGGGGACTCTCTCATGCCCGCTATCCTCTCCCTCTCAAACGCCAACCCCACTCCCCTGAGCGTCTGAGAAAAACAGCAGCACCGGGGGAGGATATGGGGTGATAAACAAGAGAATGAGAATGTGAGGAAGGGGACTCTCTCACGCCCGCTATCCTCTCCCTCTCAAACGCCAACCCCACTCCCCTGAGCGTCTGAGAAAAACAGCAGCACCGGGGGAGGATATGGGGTGATAAACAAGAGAATGAGAATGTGAGGAAGGGGACTCTCTCACGCCCACTATCCTCTCCCTCTCAAACGCCAACCCCACGCCCCTGAGCGTCTGAGAAAAACAGCAGCACCAGGGGAGGATATGGGGTGATAAACAAGAGAATGAGAATGTGAGGAAGGGGACTCTCTCACGCCCGCTATCCTCTCCCTCTCAAACGCCAACCCCACGCCCCTGAGCGTCTGAGAAAAACAGCAGCACCGGGGGAGGATATGGGGTGATAAACAAGAGAATGAGAATGTGAGGAAGGGGACTCTCTCACGCCCGCTATCCTCTCCCTCTCAAACGCCAACCCCACTCCCCTGAGCGTCTGAGAAAAACAGCAGCACCGGGGGAGGATATGGGGTGATAAACAAGAGAATGAGAATGTGAGGAAGGGGACTCTCTCACGCCCGCTATCCTCTCCCTCTCAAACGCCAACCCCACGCCCCTGAGGGTCTGAGTGTAGAAGCGGGGGTGGGAGAGTGTACGGGGGTGGAAATCAAGAGAATGGCACATGGGAAAGGACTCCTCGATGCCTGCCATTCTCTCTCAGACGCGTAACTCACGCCTCCTAGAGGCGTGATTCTATCAATGAGGGTGCAGGAGAAGTAAATAAGTCGAGAGAATGAGAGGTGACAATGGAAGGCGAAAAATCGTAGGCAGGGGTAGGTGGGGCGAAGAGAGATGAGGACAAGCACAGAGAACAAAGCTGATAGACTGTGTTGGATTGGAACTAATGGTATAACTTTTCCACACAATTCCACACAATTCCACACAATTCCACACACTTCCATACACTTCCACACACTTCCACACACTTCCACACACTTCCACACACTTCCACACACTTCCACACAGTCCCACACAATGCCATGCAAAACCCCACACAATCCCACACAATCACACACAATGCCACATAATGCAGTCACAGGAGGAGGTACCTGCAGAGTGCGCGTGTAAGGCGACAGCCAGTGAGAATCTCACCTGCAGAGTGCGCGTGTAGGGCGAGACGTAGAAGTAGACCTTGAAATCCTCCTCCCCATCTGCCTCGATCAGCTCGCGCAGCTTCCTGCCCCTCTCCACCGCCTGCTCCCACCCCTGCACTCCCAAGCACTCCCAAGCACTCCCAAGCACCCCACAAGTAGACCCACACAAGCAGGCAAGCAGAGGGGATGGGATGGCACACCCACGACACAGTGCCTGCCTGCCTACTGCCTTGGCGTAGGGGGAGTGAGGGTACATTCGGGGCACTGGTCAGAACCTCTGGTCAAACCTCTGGTCAACCGAAATCATACCTATTTCTTACCAATTGTGCTAATTGTAAGGTTGGCTACAGTGTTGACCAGAGGTTTGCCCAGAGGTTTGCCCAGAGCCCGGAATGTACCCTGAGTCATGAAATGGCACACCAGTGCAAAATGAACAGGAGGAGGGGCATGCGACGGCATGCTCTTGGAGTCAGCGGCGGCTCTACTTCTTGTGTTGTGTGCCAGTGACCAGGTGTGTTTTGAGTCGACTCAATGTCTACCACCACCAATAAGTGGTGTTCCTTGGCTCTACTTCTTGTGCTGCGCGCCAGTGACCGTTCCTTGCTTGAATAAGGGCTCTCACTTGGCCCAGTCAGAGCAACCTTGGAGTCGGGAAAAACAAAGAAGCGGCCTGGCCCGCATGGCCATATCATGTCATGGCTACCTTGGAGTCGGGGATGCGCGTGTACGCCGCCTCGTCCACGTTGCCACCATGCCATCGCTAACACTAGTCCAGCAATTCATGCATGAAGCACGTGTTATGTGTCGTGAGGGGTACCTTGCGCGTGAGAGCGATCTTGGAGTCGGGGATGCGCGTGTACGCCGCCTCGTCCACGTTGCCCTCGCTCTGCCCGTGCCGCACCAGAATGATGCGATGCGGCCTGCTCGTGCGCACAGGTGGGGAAGGGTGGTGGCGAAGGGTGGTGGGGAAGGATTGTGGGGAAGGGCGATGGGGGAAGGGAATGGGGGGGATTGATAAGCCGCCTCGTCCGAATTGCCCTCGCTCTGCCCGTGCCGCACCAGAATGATGCGATGCGGCCTGCTCGTGTGCGAGGGGGTGTGGAATGGGGGAGGGAATGGGGGAGGGGAATGGGGGAGGGGAATGGGGGAGGGGAATGAGGGAGGGGAATGCGGGAGGGGAATGGGGGAGGGGAATGAGGGAGGGGAATGCGGGAGGGGAATGCAGGAGGGGAATGGGGAGGGGGGATGGAGGAAGGGGATGAGGGAGGGGAATGGGGGGGGGATGCGGGAGGGGAATGCGGGAGGGGAATGCGGGAGGGGAATGCGGGAGGGGAATGCGGAGAATATTCACGAGCCATGAAGGACGAGCCTTGCAGAATGTGGAATGCGGAGAATGTGTCAGTGCGAGCGTGCTTGGGAGCGGATGGTGTGCGAGAGCGGGTGTGGGAGAGAACGGGTGTGGGGGAGAGCGGGTGTGGGAGAGAGCATGCACGGGAGAGCAAGGCACATCCTGAGTACTGACAAACGAAGCGACTCTGCTGGGTCGCGGCCACCTCCAAATCGTATCAGGACAAAAATGGCCGTCCACCATGCCACCTTGCGACCAACATAGACACACAGAATGCAACAGAGACAGACACTCTTGTTTCCCGCAATTGCAAACGCAAACACCATCCGCTCGTTGCGACAGAGCAATTCGGCTCGCGACGGTGACGACGACGACGCATCGACCGGCCAACGGTCACCTGAAGGCTTTGCCGTCGGGAGTGAGGATGTGCGAGATGGACGACTTCCGCGCCGCCCCTATTCCGCCCGAATCGTCCTCCTCCGCGTCGCTGTCCGCCTGCCACACCGGCGAGCCCCACCCGGGACTGTGTCCCCTCGGCTCGCCGCCTTCCGCAGCCGCTCGTTGACCAATTGGCGTGTCATCCGGCGCGGTCGTCGCATCCTCGCCGTCTGGTTTTCGTCGCGAGCGCCAGTTGAATCGCGGGTGCGAGTACCGACGTCCCCCCTGCGATCGCGCGGTGGTCGCAGATCTTCTGTCCAGGGCCCGGTGTGAGAAATGCTGGCCCAATTCGCTTCCTATTCTACCGCCTAGTCTCGGATTAATAGCACACGTAGCATGGCCAACGTGGCATGCCGCCGTGTGAGCCAATAGGATTCGGCGATCGAAGAAAGGACATGACAGATTGGCTGACCTAGAATGGGAGGCTGCAGTGATGGTGCGAGAAATTGCGTTACCAGATAATGGATTGGACACACATAATGACGCCATCCCGGTCGCGCAACGGGATTCGTCAGTCGGTAGCAGCAAGCGATGTATATCAGCCAATTAGCATGTTCACCAATTTACCCGCGAGATTCAAGTGATTGTAGCTAAGAACGTGGAATGGGGCAAGTACTTGTGGTGAGTTGAGACTCAGGACGGGCTCCTGTCAGACCTCAGGCCAAGAGCGGCTGTCCCGAAGTTGGTTTGGCGATGGGGAAAAGGCTGTAATGGCTGTAAGGGTGTGGGCCCAATCGAGTTTGATCGTGATTGATCTGATCGGGTCGGATCTGATCGGTTGCTTGTGATCGCAGTGTCCGAGCCGCCCGATCAGAAATGTTTTTCAAACAAGATTTCCAGCGCCTGCGGAGCAAGCGCAGGACATTTACGTCACAATTTCGTCCCCATTCTAGCGAGATTGGCGACCAGACGTCACCTGGAAAAAGTTTCGTTTCCCCGCAATGTTTACACTGTAACTACTCGCAAGTGTCGCTTTGGGCCCCGATCACATGCAATCAGGTGATCGCCTGTGATCGAGGAGAATCGACTTTGATCGGGGTAAAAATCGGGTCTGATTGAGTTGGGGAGATCAGCTGATCGCGATCAGCTGATTGCCCCTGATTGCTAAAAATTGGCTTTCAAGCTTCCTAGAGAATGTTGATCGCATGTGATCGAGGTTATCAAAATATATCGGGCCTACGCCCTAATGACTGCAAGTGGAGCTCGGCAGATCTGACCTCAGAACCTGCCCTTGTACACCCTGTTTCTCGACCCTCTCACCTTGCGCGATTCGCTGCTACAGTGCGGTCAGGTGCCATAAACCGTATGGCTGAAACCTGCGGGCAAAGCCGCACCAGCTGACGGAGTGGTACTGGGGGCAAAATTTTTCTTTATCGCTGTATACCCTTTTCAACCGCTTTGAAACGCTTGGTTAATGTTCTTTACCATGCAGCATCCTAGCTAACCGCTTTCTTGTGAATGTGCTTGTACCGTCGGTGATAAGACCATTTCAAACGTGGTGACGTTCTACAACCAGTGCATGTTCTGCAACCAGATGCTCTGCTAGCGCGAAACAGGGTGTATCGAATGTCTTGCTTGATTGGGTTTTCGCTGCTGGTTACCGCCTGCTGCCAAGATGAACAAATGCATCCAGCCCTTCGTTGGGATGTTGTGAAGTCGAGCCGGCAAACCTGGGCGCCTTCGGATTGGTCCTCCCGATGGCTAGATTTCCGGGAATGCAATCGTGGGGTTTACGCTGCATTGATCGGACGACTCTGGGCTGCCTGTGGAGGTATTATCTGTTCGAGGGATGACTTGGCATGCTGAAGTCCACAAGTGAAGTTGGGTCGCTGCCACCCACACGTGTGTCTCGAAGTCCAGCGAACAAATTTGCAAGAGGGCGAATGGGCAAACGGTTCCTTTCATTCGCAGGAGCTGATTCCTGATTCCTGGTTCGTGCCGACTCCCGTCTCGGTGCGCGCATGTTTCGGGACCAGCTTCCAGCAGGTTCGTTTTCATAAGCTCTGAGGCGTTCGCCTCCCCACAAAGCCTACAAAAAGTAGTCATTCCTCGCGTTCTTTCACAAAGTCTCCATCGTGATTGTTATTCGTCTAAGCAGCCTCCGAGCAACCTGCGTTCTATTGTGTAGTTCTCCTTCGCATCATCAACCCGCGAGCGTAATCTTTTACCATGCCTGACGAATTTGTCAACCGCGAGGATGAGCGGGTGCTGGGGCAGCAGACAGAAGGCCAGGAGGCTCGGCTGCTGGAGCACGTGACGAAATCAACGCCAGCCAACGACCCGCAAGCCGTGATCAACGCGATCGATGCGTATGCATGGTCCAGCCGCGAGTTCTTCATGAACGTCGGCGACGTAAAAGGCGTCATCCTAGACGACGCCGTCCGCCGCGCGAATCCTCTCAGCGCAATCGAGCTCGGCGCGTTCTGCGGGTACTCGGCGGTTCGAATCGCATCTCATTTCTCCAGGCCGGGAGCGCGGCTGATTTCTGTCGAGCCGTGCGAACTCCGCTCGTCCATCGTCCGCGACATGGTCGCTCACGCGGGCCTCAGCGACAAAGTCACCGTCGTCACAGGGACTTTGCAAACCTCAACTGACGAAATTCGGCAAGCTGCGAGCAAGATTCCGTTCGATTTGGTCTTCATTGATCATTGGAAGGAGCTCTATATGCCCGACCTCCTGTTTCTAAAGGAGCAGAAACTCATCGGGCCTGGAAGTGTCATTGTGGCTGATAACATTTGGATTCCAGGATGTCCGGAGTATCTGGAATACATGGAGAAGAGCACTGAATTCGTGACGGAGAAGAGGGAGACTATGATCGAGTACTCGACTAAACACAAGGACCTGGTGCTCATCTCAACCTTCTCCCCTAAGGACGAGTAGGGGGGGTGCCGAAAAAGGGGGACAGCTTTGCTGGTAGGAACGAGCCACACCCTTGCACGAAGTTTATGTATGAAGTGAGTAATTTTGTAAGATTTGTTTGATGAATGTAGGTAATATTTCTAAGCAGCTCAATTGTGACAAAGGTGGTGTGGAACGCTTGCTGCAGCTGACCCCCACATTGTTTTCGCAGGGGCGAGGGTTGTTCGGAGTCTCGCCTAAGTACTCCCGAAATTTCGGGAATCAATTTTGTGAGGTCGCTCATCGCTCGTTGCAGTTCGTTCCTCACCTCACCACCCACACCAGCTTCTACCACTTTGGTTTTGTGAAATCTGTCGTCCCTACAATCTGAGTCCAGCTTTATTTTTCTACGAGTCACCTAAATTCGCTGTCGGATACCGCGCGCGAGCGCTGGGAACCCCACTACAGCCTCCAAGCCACCAATCGCGATTTATTTTGTACTTTCTTAGCATCATTAATCTACGAACTTAATCGTCAACCATGCCCGACGAAGCTGCGAACCGCGAGGAGGAAAGGGTGGTAGGGCAGGAATCGGACGGCCAGGAGGCTCGGCTGCTGGAGCACGTGACGCAATCAACGCCGCCAAACGACCCGCAATCAGTGATCAACGCCATCGATGCGTACGCGTGGTCCAGCCCGGAGTTCTTTATGAACGTCGGGGACGTCAAGGGTGCTATCCTAGACGACGCCGTTCGCCGCGCGAATCCTCTCAGCGCAATCGAGCTCGGCGCGTTCTGCGGGTACTCGGCGGTTCGAATAGCATCGCAACTCTCCCTGCCGGGAGCTCGGCTGGTTTCCGTGGAGCTGAGCGAATCCCGCTCGTCCGTCGTACGCGGCATGGTCGCACACGCGGGCCTGAGCGACAAAGTCACCGTCGTTACAGGCACGCTGCAGACCTCAACTGACGAGATTCGGCAAGCTGCAAGCAAGATTCCGTTCGATTTGGTCTTCATCGATCATGTGAAGCACCTCTATCTACCCGACCTCCTGTTCCTTAAAGACCAGAAGCTCATCGGGCCTGGAACTGTCATCGTGGCTGATAACATCGTTTATCCGGGATCGCCTGATTATCTGGAATTCATGGAGAGGAGCGCTGAATTCGTGACGGAGAAGAGGGAAACGATGCTGGAGTACTCGACCAAGGTGAAGGATCTGGTGCTCGTTTCAACCTACTCCCCTAAGAACGTTTAGGAGTCTAGGGGAGCTGAAAGGGAGCAGAGTTTCAGCTGTGAGTTCGTGACGGAGAAGTGGGAGACGATGCTGGAGTACTCGACGGTGGTCAAGGATCTGGTATTAATTTCAACCGACTCCCCTGTGAAGGGGGGGCACTTTCAGGAAATAAGATGGCAAGCATGCCAGCATTATGCAAGTATGGCAGTAGAATTCAGCAGCATTTTACATGTAGTTTGTCCTAGGAAGTTTTGAACACACTACAACCCCGACCGGTACATGGGAGGTGCAGAGATCTTAACTCCTTTACGGTACATGAGATGTCCCAGTCACCCACTGGCAGATAGTGGCTCCTCTGCATGTAGTATTTTTCATACAGTATTCACATTGGCTCTGAACTAATTATCTGTCAAAAAAAAAACACACGGCAGCTCAGAGCCAAGATTTCATTCCAGTCTCGCCCACCTTCGATCTGATGGTAGTTCAGAATATTTATCAGCCTTTTTCTTGAGCAGGAACATAGCTGCAATCGCTAGAAGTGCTGAAAGCCCCGCAAGCAGCCCGTCATCTGGCCTGCTACCACCACCACCCATCATGCTCATTTGGCCCGTCATAACCTTCGCCATTGCTAGCATGAGGATTCCCCCCATGCTCCCTGTGTTGCACCACTAGAGAGAGTGCAGCGCGCGGCCCGTGTTGGCTTGATATGCGTCTTAACTGAGCTGACAACTGTGCTGCAAACGCATCCTCCGGCCTTGCACCTGCATCGATCCCTGCCCTTATTGCTTCTCCTGCACCTCCTGCTACGTTCCCTGCTGCTGTTGCAGCTGCTGTTGCTGCTGCTGGCGCTGCTGCTGGGGCTGATTCTTGGAGCAAGGGTCCTGCCGCAGGGGGGGCAATGGGTGCTGTGCTTGGCACCGTTGCTGCTACTGCAGCCGCAGGCACTGCTGGCGCCACTGCTGCGTCAGTCACACCTGATCCTGCTGGAACCTCCATGCCACTTGCTGCCACCCCCTCTTCTGCTTCCTCCTCGCTCGCTGCTGCTGCCAGCATGCCAGTGCTCGCAGCAACAGCACTACTTTCCCCACAGCCAGCCCCGGACGAACCATCGTCTTCACCGTAGCCGCCATCACTCTCACTTGCCACCACGTCCTCCGTTCCTGCACCTTCCGTCTCTCCCACTTTCCCCTTGCCTTTCCCAACGTCTCCAGCGCGTACCATCTCTGTCTCTGCCTCCCCTCCCTTATCTTCTTCCGCACACCCGTCGCCCTCGTCACCTCCAGCCGCATCGGCTCCATCATTCTCGCTGTCCTTCTCCGCACAGCCGTCTTTCTGCACCTTAGTAGAGTTGGCGAAGCCTTTCTCGCCCTCCGTCGTCACCAACCCACTCTTCGCAGCAGCAGCAGCGCTTTCATCACAGAGCCATGTTTCAACCACGCCTACCATGGATTCCTCCCCAGTACATGCGCCGCTCCTGCTGCATGTAGTACTGTTCGCAGAGGGCAGCTCGTGACACGCGGAGCGGCACAGCGGGCAGGATACCTGGTGTGCGCCACCAGGCAGCGTGGATTTCGGCAGCGAAGTTCGTACGATGATGAATGGGAAGGAGCATTTGGTGCAGGCGAGGACCATGTTCTCCGCTTCAGGCGGCAGGCGAGATAACGACGCCATGGCGTGCTGCGGAGATGGAATCTGAGCGCTGATCGGCTTTATATTGTTGGAGACAAACTAGGGAGACACAGAACCACTTCCGACGTAATAGCAGCATGAGGACTAAATATTAAGTTCTTTGAGAACACCGATGGCCAATCTCAAGAGTCCAGCCTGCGCGGGTTGTAATGCTGTGCAAAAAGCGGGCGCTGGCTCCCGTGCAGGTACGAACCGCGCTGCGCAGAAGCCATCACGCGACTTGGCATTGTGGCGACTCGACGTGTCGTGACACGAGAGCCATTGTCGCATGAGAGCATTCCGTTTAGGCGCCACGAAACTCATAGGCGGCGTAACCGCCGAACCGGACATCATCGGGAACGACGAACTGACACTACTAGTAGGGCATGCCATTTGTGGAGTCTGTCCAGGGTTGCCTGCAACGCAAACGTCGAACTGCTAGGCATGTGCGAATCTCCCTCACTTCGTGGGGCGTCGTGTATTAGCGCGTACAACACTTTGGATGGGCCAATACCTGACTTCGCTCGTTACTAACCACGTATGTTCTTTACATACGCGGGTTTGCACTTGCACAACCAGTCAATAACGAAGAATGGTTTACAGTGTCTCGTGCAAACGAACATGCACAAGACTTGATTACCATGTAGGGCAAAGAGAGCGATAAATGCCTTCAGTAAGCTCAAAGCACCCGCAACCACATACTTCTCATTCACTTAGAAACAGAACACTTGCCATCACTTACATAAATCAATGCATGAAAGAAAAGTAGAGGCCTGTACAAACCCCTTCATTTTTCTCCCAATATCCTGCACAAATGTCTAGCAACCAGTACTCAGTCATCCAACTCAAACACCACTCCAGGAGTAATAGACACGAACGGCAGCGCCCGAGCCTTCTCGCTCAAACCATAGGACGAGCCGCTGTCCGCCGCAAAAATATCAGGACGAGGCGTATCGTGCACTTGTCCTCGCGGCGATTCCCCCGCGCGGGTCGCAGTCACGTTCTCATCGCGCCACGAGGCTCGCCAGCCCTGCTCGGGCATTCCCGGCAGTGCTGCGAGGGTTGCGTCGCACGGAAGAGAGTCGGCGTCCCACGATTGGGTGAGAGGGCTTGGCTTCGGAGTTACAAACATACGCAATACAGAATCTACAGCTTCATTCTCTGGCAGATGAGCTGTCTGCGCCGGATGATTGAGCGGTTCGGCAGTGGTCGCAGCGTGTCGCGCGGCGTCGAGCTGATGAGAGATGCTATCTAAAAGCTTCTCATGCGCCGCCGAGTGGGATGGCCATGCGATTGGCGATGCGGCGCCGCTACTATTGCCTAGCAGCGCGGAATCCAGAGCGGAGAGCGCCGCTGAATCGGTCGTTGACTCCGCGGATGGGCTCCAGAAAGTAGGGATCGGGGGAATGCCGCTAGCGCCGCTGTGTGCGCTACGGGCTTGCTGCTGCGACGGCTGCTGGGGCAGGCTGCTGCTGACTGCGGAGTGTGCTGGAGCGCGAGTAGCTACGCCTGCGACGGGGGCGGCGTGACGATGCAAAGCGCGGAGGAGTAGAAGCGAAAGATGGCTCGCCGCGGGTAGGCACATGGAGAGGGCTTGGTTGCGCGCTAGAGACAGCGCCATGCGAGCGAAACTTATTTGATTATCTGTGAAAGAGTGGTGTTGTCTGGCGAAGGTTAACGACTATCTGAAGTCTTCAACTCTACTAGAACGTTGCAGGAGGCGAGGGAAAAGTGACACTTTCAAAAAACGAGCTGCTTACTTATCAGTGAGGAGCTGGTTAAGATCAAGAAATGTGATGATGCGAGGTGGTGGTGAATAATTGTTCCCGCCATTGGATACATAAATAGGCTTCACCTCAAACGAAGCATGGTTGGCATGGAAGGTGCAGTGCTACAGCGAGCGTTTGGCAAGCACAACCAGCAAATTCATCAGTTGAGTGAGGTGAGGAGGTCGCTGGGCAGGTGTTGTGGTGGTGTTGGTTGGTATGCATGGAAACTCCTCGCAGTTGCTGTGTTACGTTGGCAATCAACGTGCGGGGGAAGGGGGGGTTGGTGAAGGTGGCTCATGCTGACCATGTGGTGGACACGTCACAGGACAACTGTACAAGGAGCGGGGTGGGATTAGAGATGGTATGTCTTGTTCTTAAATATTTCCACTGTGGTTTAGTATGGTGTAACTGTGCTTTGGTGTACGGAGCCTGATTGTCCCTCGACACTGATTGGCCCGCAGTTTCCTCTGCGACAATATTCCTGCTTCTGCGAACAGCTGACTGTCGCGTGCCCCAAACCTTGTGCGACCACCACCGCCTCAACCACACCTCGCACGAAGTAGAGTCTCCGTCCGCAAGCATCTTGCTTGCACGAAGCTGGAATGGTCGATTCGGTCGCCAACTCAGCTCGTGCTGGTTCTTGATTCTTAGTCGGTGTGAAGTCAGCTCGGTTCCGCACAGGTCTGCGCCATCCGTGGGTTGTGTGACTGAGCGGCTACACGATGTCTTGGTTTGTTGGTTTTCTCACTAAAACGACAGCGTATCCCGACAGCGGGACGGAAAAGCCTGAAGTACAGGGTCGATCCAGCCAGCCACGCAGGTCAATGGACGCGCTGCGCATGGCCATTGGCTACCGCCTGCTTCCCGCGCCATGCTATGTGATGCGATGCGATACGATCAGCCGAGCGACAAGCAACAGCAGCGCACAAATTTCTTTGTTGGACAGACAGAAGAAAAAGCAAGCCTACACTGCTGACCAAACATGGAACGCGCTTCCCGCGCAAACGAAGGTACAGAGAACGCACATGTGTGCTAAGGAAAACTCCACTTCTATTACAAACATGGTAGAATAAAACAGAACAGCGTTTCAATGACTGCCTTAAAACCTGAACTAGAGTAAGCAAAACATGATGTGCGGTACCCTATTGCTTACAATTGGTTGTGAGATTCGTGCACTCCCTAATTAATTGAGATCTGTGGGTGCTTTTGCAATCCCACGGGTGACTTAGCCAGGATCAGTGATATCCGTTGTAAAAGAGAGTGCACGGAATAACGAATAACGAAGATGTGACTCATTGAACTGACAATACAATGAAAGCACCACATTATTTAGTGACTACTCTAGCTAGGAGGAAACCTCGGGAAACGGAGGTTGGGTGCATGTTTGGAGATCGGAAAGCCGAAGGCGATGCGGGGCAGCCTCGGCATCGGAAAAGTTAGCCAAACATGCGGAGTGCGAAATGTCGGGGTCGTACGCGTAGCATTCAACCGCGGTAGCGAATAAGGAAATTTCCTTACACTACCCCCCCCCCCCCCCCCCCCCCCCCCCCCCCCCCCCCCCCCCCCCGCCCCCCTCCCCCTCCCCCAATCACCAAGAAGCGGGGAAGCTTCAGACGATGCGGATGGCAGCTACGTGTCGTCCTCACTTGTGCGGTCAGTCAAACGAACTAAAAAGTCAACGTGGCGGCTAGAGGCGTTGAGCCCGAATACGATGTTCCAAGATTTTCGACGGATTACATATCGGTTCCGGGACAGGTTGGGCTGTCGAGGCGGCGTTCTGGCATGCGATGTCTGTCGTGCCAGGCACAAATTTGCGGAGGCTGACATGTAAGACGTCATGTATACGCCAATCGACGGCTAGTAGCAGCTTCGCGGTGACGTTTGTCACTATCTGGATGATGCGAAAAGGCCCACAAAATTGTGGCCGTAGTTTGTTCGAGCCGGGCAGGCATAGGCTTTTCGTGTCAAGTAGCACTAGTATCCCAGGCGTCATGATGATTTCTAGTCGCAGGAGATCCGTGTATTTCCGGACAGTAGTATTAGCCTTACGAATTGCGTCGGCTGCTTTCTCGCGAATTTCCTGAAGTTCCGTCTCAAATGTTTGTGACCGTGGAACCAGGTTGTTGATTCTAGTCGTGGTTGGCACCACCGGGTCCATCCAGTGATTGAGGAAGAACGGGGAGTGATTAGTCATGCTGGACGGGGCATTGTTAAACGCGAACTCAAGCATGGCGAATGAATTGTCCCAACGAGCGGGGTCGGGGCAGTTTGTCAGATTATAATGCATGTCTAGTCTGTAGTGGGGTACTCAAAAGTGAGTATAACCCTTTTAGGGCTTACCACTTGTATCCCCCTCCTTTCTAGTGAACACACCTTTTCTCCTCATCAACTCTCTAGACCTTCTGGCCTAGGCTACTAAGCCTAGGCCCTAATACTCCTTCTCTCAACATGTTATCAGAGCTTAACGCTCCTGGCCTGTGGGCCCACTTGCTTCCGCTGCCCTACTGTGTGTCACGCGCCCCGTGGCGCGCAACATCCTATTTTTCTTCCCGCCACGCGCTCGGAACGCGTGGCGGTTTTCTGCCCGCCGTGCGCCCCGAGGCGCGCGGCGGGTTCCTACCTCGTCACGGCGTCCTGGGGGCCCGCGCACTGGCCCCGACCGTCGCCTCGTCGCGGCGTTTTGGGGGCCCGCACGCAGGCCCTTCCCGTCGCCTCGTCGCGGGACTTTCGGGGCCCGCGAGCCGGCCCCTCCCGTTGCCTCGTCGCGACGCCTTAGGGGCCTGCGCGCGGTCCCCTCCCGTCGCCCGTCGAGGCACTTTGGGGGGCCTGCGCGGCTCCCTAGTACGTCGCCCGTCAGGGCACCCTAGGGGCCGTGCCCTTCCCCTCCCCTCCCTCCTACTTTCCGCAGCAGCAGCAGCCCCTGGAACAGCCGCCCCAGCAGCAGAGGCCCCTGGAGCAGCCGCCCCAGCAGCAGCAGCCCCTGGAGCCGCCGCCACTGCAGCAGCCGCC